AGTACATTAGATAAATTTTTGAACAAAAAGTTAGGTTATATTCACAGTTATTGAATATATTTCGAATATGAAATATTATTACATATTTATAAGTTTAAAATGTATTATGTCATAACTATTTATAAAATATTCATTATTAATTGTAATAGAATTGTTATTTGTGTTTTATACATATACATACGTTTACGTTCCTTAAAACGTCGCGTATACTACAAGACAGGAAACATAACACAGTATTGTGCGTTACCTAAGACAAAGACTTAGGGCAAACAGTTTTTAAGGTTATAAGTCAGCCATTCTGCTCAGGCCTGTGGTACACGATTCGAGTTTTAGTAACTTTTTCTCGATCGAGAACCATCGTGGACACCAAGCTTAAGTCTTAAGAAATTAAGGTCCTTTACACGGCACCCTTAGGCCGACGTCCCATTGAGCGGAAATTCATAGCGGAACGGAACGCGCGGAACCAGCGCAACCAATCACAGCCATTCCGTTTTTTTTACTTCGTCTTTTCCATTTTCCTTATGTCCCATAAAGCGGAATACGCGGAAACGGATTACGCGGAATGATATAAAATCAGCCTTTTTATATTATTTACAATACTTATAATAGTTGGAATAGCTTTTAATATACATATAATAATATATATGATTAACTAGTGAACAATAGAATTTGATTTTTATAACATATATTTTTGACGTAAATGTAAATCTATTTCATGATTGGCTGAAACTTAATTCCGCTACCGCGTTTACCGCTTCATGGGACATTAGAAGAGATACATCAGCGAATCGCGATGATAAACAAAACACAATAATTAAAAAAATAATACTGTTGACAGATAAATAATTTCTTTAATTATGGAAGCACAAGATATTCTATATAGCGTTTGTCGATTATGGATTTCATTTAGGAATAGATCTTATTCTGCATTTCAAAAGCAAATCATTCGGAAACGAATGCTTAAATTACATTTATTATATGTAATAATTAAACGACATGAGAGAGAATAAAAAGAGAAATAAACGTCAGTATTGGGTACGATCAATATTTTCAGAAGAAAGAAGAATAATGCAGGGAGCGAGCGATAATCTGGTTCGCGAAATGGAATATATAGATAAAGAAAAATATTTCAATTACTTTCGGATGTCATTAGAAACATTTGAAAGATTGCTAAGTATCATTGAACCATATATTACAAAAGAAACTGTTGTCCAAACACCAATACCTGCGCGCACTCGTTTGCAAGTAACTTTGCGATATTTAGCTTCTGGAAACAGTATAATCTCAATATCATATGCTTTTCGTATTGCATTTTATAATACTGTTTCCAAAATTGTCTCCGAAACTTGTGACGCTATTTGGAATTCTCTTAAAGACGAAGTATTTCTACAACCGAGTGCAGTTAATTGGCAAAACATCGCAGAACATTTTGAAAATATTTGCCAGTTTAACAACTGTATTGGAGCTCTTGATGGAAATCATGTTATCATACAGGTAAAAACTTTTATTTAAATATATTTAAGTATATTGTATAAATTGCACAATTTTTAATATTAATTTTATTATTAATTTAATTTATTTTACATTTATTTATTTATTTAATTTTTATTTATTTTACTCTATTATTTATATCATATTTTATTATTTTTTTATTTGATTATAAATTTAATTATTTTTATTTTATTAATTTTAATATTTTTAAAATTTTTCATTAATCTACATTTTGTATTTTGTAGGCACCACCAAATAGTGGTTCTACATATTATAATTATAAAGGACAATACAGCCTCATTTTTCTTGGAATATGTGATGCTAACAACCGTTTTACTGTTGTGGATATTGGCAGTGAAGAAAGACAATGTGATAGCACAATATTTCAAAATAGCGAATTGGGTAAACGATTCTACGATGAATCGCTTCAATTACCTGCGGCAAAATGTATTAGTGCGAATAGTAATATAAAGTTGCCGTATGTATTAGTCGCAGATGAAGCATTCCTGTTAACTACATTTATGATGAGGCCGTATCCACGAAATAATCTTGACACAAGAAAAAAAGTATTCAATTATAGATTAAGTCATGCTAGACGATCAATAGAATGTGCGTTTGGAATACTCGCTGTTTGATGAAGGATATACGGAAAACCGATAATTGCTTCTGTATCTACAGCTCGAAAAGTTATTCAGACAACAACTGCTTTGCATAACTATGTAATGTCCACTGAAAAGAATTTAGAAGTATCACAATTACAGTATTCTAATTTTACTGCACAGGACCGTGCAGTAATATCTGAAGGTTTGAGAAATCTACGAAGAAATCGCTCTTCAAATCCTGCTGCAGCTAAAAAAATTAGAGAAAATTTTTCAGACTTTTTCAATAAAATTGGCGCGTTGCCATGGCAATGGGATAAAGTACTTAATAATGATTTATAAATATAGCAATTAATGTAAAAAAAAAGATATCAAAATATTTTCAAATAAATTTCATTTAATAAAAATTTAGAAATAAATACATCTCTTAGTCTTACATTTCTATTAGTCTTATATCATTGCACAATTTATGACACATAAATTGACTAGATTTTGATACAAAAATAAAATCAAAGTAACTGCGTTGATCAAAGTACACTATATAATAAAATTTAAGTAAACTAAAATTAAAGTAGTTGTTAAACAAAGTAAATTATATAATAAAATTTAAATTTATGAACAAAAATAAACAAAACAACTTATCTTATTAATTATTATGAACAGCATCGCTCTTCAGCTGTCATAAGTTCACGTAACTATTAAATTTCCAATAGTTCTTTCTCGATATGGTAAACGACGAAGACCTTCACCTAATCTAAGTAATATTCCATCAACTGCATCAGGTTGCTGTAATGGCTGACGTAAAGCTTCTAATAAACTTTCTTCTACATTGTTCTGTTTAGTCCTATCAAGATGCTCTATAAAAATCATATTCAAAATAAGATATAATTTCTAAAAATTAATATATTAACACGAATACAATTTATTTTAAATTACTTCGTTTCTTTGATGTTCTTGATAAATTAGCTTTTGATAATGCAACTGTATTTAAAAAAGAGGTGTGGATATCGATTTATTAAGTGTCATTTTTAGCGATATTAACTGGTGTGACGTTTCAGATGAACTTTCATCTAAACTGATTTTCGATTTAGAACAGCTGCTGATGTCAAATTGAGAATTGGAGTCTGATGTACTAGGTAATAATGTTGATTTAAATGGCAGAGAACTGATAGTGCTATAAAATGATATACATGTATTATGTATATATTTTCAATATACATACATTGAAATAGCTATATTTATTATTATATGCTTTATTATATGTAAAATGTTGCTTACGCTTCTGTGGTTAACACTGCTTCCAAAAACTGCATCCATTCAAAGTAGCAAAAGAAAGTTTTTCTTAAATTTTGAGCAGTGTCTGTATGGATCCACTTCGAACATAAGTTTTAAACTTTTTCTTGCTTTTACATAAGCATCTCGTAAATCCTTTTATCGATTCTTTACCCATTTAATAGTAGCATTACCTTTGATTGCAAAATATTCATTATATATTATTATTACAAACTATTTATTATATTTTTCTTACTATTTGTAAATCTATATATATATATATATAAATAAGACGTAAAATATTATATTAAATCACCTCCTCCCATCCTATTTGAAACCTCCAACCAAAGTGCATCTTTTTCCAAATTCGTCCAATCTTGTAATGGTAACTTGTAGTTCCAAAGAGCAGGTCTCTCAAATACTAAGTTAATAAGAGTTTTATCAGTACCATCATCAGACTTTGTGTTTCAACATTATTTTCGACAGGGATTACGGCTATATTCGCTGATGTATTTATTTCTAAATTTTCATTGTGACTATATTGTGGGACTGCAATGTAAAAGATTTTTATTAAAATTATAATAAATAAAATGATTTGTAATTATAGTAAAAAATAAATCATATACTCATTCTTGTTACATGGTTATCATCAATATGTAACAAGTGATTCTCTTCTCTATAACTTTCAAAACATTTGTGTTCTTCAATATTGGCACAGAAACCAACATTCATTATCCAACCGCAATAGCCGCATTTTATTTTCTATAAACATTTATATACATTCTAGATTAATATTACTTTCATTAATATCCTATTATAAATATCTAATTATTAACCTTTTATTTTATTATATACTTACAGATTTTCTATTCATAATTATAACTAAAATTGAGGTTATCCGGGAATATTTCTTTATTCCGCGAATTACAGCGGTAAAATAACGGAACGACATGAAAAGAGCGGAATGGCTGTGATTGGTCGCGCTGGTTCCGCGCGTTCCGTTCCGCTATGAATTTCCGCTCAATGGGACGTCGGCCTTAATCGGGTTTAATAACATCCGTAATTGTAAGACTGGCCAATCACAGCCGTTCCATTCTTCAGGGGAATGGCTGTGATTGACCAGTTTTACAACTATGGATGTATTAAACCCGATTAAGGGTGCCGTGTATTTGACCTTATTGATCAGGGGGTCAATTGTGTAATTTTTTCTAAAGTGAAAATGTGAAAAGTGAAAAATTTCTTCCAATCACACATCGATTTTCTTTTAAAATCAATGCGTGATTGGAAGAAATTTTCACTTTTTATATTTTCACTTTAGAAAAAGTTACACAATCGACGCCCAGGCCGGGTCTACAATAGGTGTAATAAACTCTAAAGCGGGGAGTACACTCTTGCATAAGCGTATAAGCATATGCATAGAAATTCGATTGGTTGAATTTCTTATGCATACGTTCATGGACTAATCAAGATTCTTATGTTTACGCTTATACGCTTATGCAAAAGTGTGTGCTCCCGCTTCATGTTTACGGTTATGCGTCTATGCAAAAGTGTGTGCTTACTGCTTTACATCATGATTTCTAGGGACTCTATTGCTGCGCGGGAAAAAGTGACGCAATAAGAAGGGGTTCATTGTTTGGCTACCACATTCCTTCTGCTTCACGCGATATTGCATCCTCTGTGCCTTTGTGCAGAAACCCAAGAATCACGTTATCACTAAGCGGTTTGGTCTATTAAACGCAGCACGCGGCAATAATAAGAGAAAGTACATGTGCCTCAGTGAGCTCGTATTAAAATCATTCAAGTTACATAAAACTCATTACGATTTATGTGTAAAACGCAGATCATCACTATACTATTTTAACTTGCTGATTGCCATCTCGACATTTATTCTTCATCGGTTGCTGCGAAAAATCAAGAAGACGAAAAGGAGAACAACCTAATCTATCTTCAATAAATTTGTTTTTTAAACAAATATAGATAGTTATCTTACATTAGTGATTTGCGAATATATATGGGAATACATTCGGTAAGTTTTGAGATTTTTTCTCCTTTTTAAGTAATAAGTATTTTTGCTTCATTTGGAAATACCTAAGATGTATACACTTCTTTTTATATACTAGGTATTAGATCGATAAAAACTGACTTGTTCTAGAAATATCCAGAATGAGAATCTAGAAATACAACTATTATAAATGGTGTGTATGTTCGAGATTACTGGTTTTAAAATGCATTTATCAGGAAGATTTGGAATATTTTTCCTTTTGTTACTATGGCGGTTGATGTCAGTGATCATAGTACAAACTGCTCATGTGCCAGACGAATACTGGCAATCCCTCGAAGTAGCTCATCATCTGGCATTCAATTATGGATATCTTACATGGGAATGGACAATAATGATTCGCAGTTACATTTATCCATTTTTTATATCAATTCTGTATTGTACACTTGCTTTTCTTTCATTAGATTTCACATTGTTATTAACAATGTTGCCTCGTGTTTTTCAAGCTACTTTCGCTGCTTATGGTGATTATAGATTTTATAAGTGGACCAAATGCAAGTGGATGTTGTTGGTCCTATGCTCAAATTGGTATTGGTACTACTGTGCTTCGAGAACACTGATAAATTCAGTGGAGACTGTCTGCACTACAATAGCATTATCAATATTCCCATGGCAAGATAATCGTGTGCAAAGTACAAAGTTTTTATGGATTGTAGGCTTTCTCTGTATGATAAGACCTACTGCTGCAATTATATGGTTTCCATTATGCTTACATCACATTTGTTCAAATGTAGAAAAGAAAGCATTACTTGGTCATTATGCAATGATAGGTACTTCTTGTTTCTTGATTTCTGTATCAGTAGATAGTTACTGTTATGGAAAATTTGTGATAACCCCTTGGAAGTTTTTCCAAATAAATGTGCTTAAAAGTGTCGGAGACTCATATGGCAAAGAACATACATTATGGTATATCTTTGTTGGTTTACCTGTAATACTAGGGTTATATTACATTCCATTTTTGATTGCTGTTTGGCAAATATTTAAACATCCTGCTTACTTCCATCGAGAATTAATTATGTTTGTAATAATCGGTTGGACGCTATTCGTCTATTCTTTTTTGTCTCATAAAGAATTTCGATTTATTTTACCGCTTTTGCCGATGTTAATTTATATAAGTTCCGCTTGCACTCGACGTTTAAACGTTAGAATTACGGCATTTGCACGTAAAAGTATTTTAGCATTATTAATATGCAGCAACATTGTACCCGGATTTTATTTTTCCTTGATTCATCAACGGGGCACCTTAAATGTAATGGAGCTCTTACAGCAGGAAATTTATGCTATTCCTTCACCAATAAATGTGTTAATTCTCACTCCTTGTCATGCTATGCCATTATATAGTCATTTGCATGTAAATGTATCGGTAAAATTTTTAACTTGCAAACCTAATTTAGATAATTCTAATGATTACCTTGATGAAGCAGATCAATTTTTTGCAAATCCAACACTTTGGCTTGATAATAATTATGTTAATAATAAAAATGCTACATTACCAACTTATGTAATAATATTTGATAATGTTGTGAATGAAATAATTGACTTTTTATATAGATATAAACTAATTGCCAAAATATTTTATACACATTTTCCACAATCCAATTATGGAGAATATGTGTTATTGTATAAAATGTAACATTTATTTAAAGAATGATGTACATTTTATATATGTAAATGTTAATGAAGTAAACGTTTATTTATATCAGAATAATAAACGTGTCATAAAATGTATATTTCTATAATTTAGTTCATAATTAGTTTCAAAATATATTTTAAAGGTTTCATATATTAGTAAAATATATTTAAAGTTTCATATATTAGTTTCAAAATATATTTAGTCTATAATTAGTTTCAAAATATATTCAAATATTTTAAATATATAATTTCAAAAATTCGGATTAATAAAAAATTTTTTTTTATATTTTATAATTTATTTAGAAGAAACTTTATTTTTACTTTTAATATTGAAATAGTGCTATTTTTTCTTTCTTATTCTTTTATATAAAATATTCGAGTTATTCTTTTATATAAAATATTCGATTTATTACTATTATATAATATTATTTAATAAATTATTTATTGTATAGAGTACTAGAACAGGACACCTAATTATCTTTACTTCTGACAAGATAAAAATACTTTAAATATAATTTAAATGTTGAGATAAACATTTCGATTTTGATTGCTTATAACTCAGTTACAAATTATATTAATTTACAAAAAAATATTTTTGTCATTTGAAACCAGACGCTGTTTCTTATATTTTTGCAGGGTTGGGAAAGTTACTTTATAAAAGTAATTAGTTACAGTTACAGTTTTTTTCATTAAAAGTAACTAGTTACAGTTAAAAGTTACCAATCCTGAAAAGTAACGCGTTACAGTTACAGTTACTTAAAAAGTAACGAGTCGTTACTTTGTAGTTACTTTCTTGCGATGAAAATAAAATATCAGATCTATACTTAATAAAAGAAATTTAAAGGTAAAAGAATGAAATCATATACATATAAATATGTTCTCTAAATACATTTTTATTATATATAGTTATTTATTATAATTATACATTATTACTTATTATAAGAATTAAAATTATAAAAGTCTTTAACGTTTCGAGAGCATTATAGAGTTTCTATTTATATTGTATATACACATAGTATATAATGAAGCTATAATGATCTCTTTCTTTCTCACAAATTAATTTTTTTCATCATTCCGAGAATATTTACTTCTTATGTGAAAATCTTATATTTTGCCGATATCGAAATGCCGCAAGTCGATTTATAAAGCATCAAAACGAGATCACAAGAAAACTGAAATCGTTATCGTGGTCCCAGATTTTTAGGCTGACCTAGGACGACAGATATGAGAGATATATCTAGCTACAGACGTTATAATATCGATATTGAGAAATCGGAAAATCGTAGCCCCGGCGAAATATTTAAGTAACTACACTAGAAAACAGCTCTTTCTTTGTTTAGTATCCTTCTTTTATATTGTCTCGTCAAAGTAAACAGAAACGCACAATATTTTACGTTGCTTTGGATTATTGAGATTACCTACAAAATCTCATAACAAATTTAACTCCCTTAATTATATCCTCTTTAAATAACTTCCTTTTTTCTCATGCTTTATAATTTTATACGCCTACGTCATTTAATATCAGATAGCCTTAGTAAAAAGAATTGCAGATTTTCTAAATAAACTAAAATAAAATTATAATGTATTCTTTCTAATTTATAAAAATTACAGCTTTCTTTACAAATTCCACTCATATAAAAGCAATACAATTTCATACGTGCTTTTTTTAGCATTTTATATGAAAATTATTTACTCATTCAAACTTTAAATTTTTACGATCATTTTTTAATATATACAGGGTGTCCCAAAGCACCTTAACAACGCTCGTGAGGTGATAGAGGAGATTAAGATGAACAAAAAAGTCTTATACCATTTTGCGATATTTGCAATTATAAGCGAAATATTTAATGTTAAATTCAGGCAAATAAGAGCCCGCTAAGGGCTCTTATTTAACTTTAAATAATTAATTCGTTATAACGGGTACACTGGTCGTGTTTAGTTTGAGCGGCTCGAGCGCTTTCCTTAGCGGGCTCTTATTGCCTGACTTAACATTCTTGGCGATAAATGCCACAAACATATAAAGTACATATAATATAAAATTTACACGAATAAAAATATATGACAAGCGACGAGTGTTAAGAATAAATCGCGCCGGTGACAAAAATAATAAATAAAAAATAAGCGTCTAGCATGACGAAGGTAGATTATGATTTCACGAACAGAATAAAAAGCGAAAGTTCTTCATAATAATAGATAGGCTATCACCTAAAAAATAAAATAAGTCGTGGAAAAATCGAGAGAAGCAAAACAATACCGCGCCTCGAAGGGCAGATAGATTTTGACTCGCGCTCGCGATACACGGTTTTCCTCGGTGGAGAGTAAAAGTCTGTATCTGATAATCCGAATAAACGCAGTAAAAGACAATATAATTATAACACCTATTAACTATTCCGTCTTAACGATCCTCTCCCGATTCGCGATATTGATAGAACAATAATTAACGAGCTAAGCTACACACGCTCGCCCAAAATTCAATATTTCGCTTATAATTGCAAATATCGCAAAATGGTATAAGACTTTTTTGTTCATCTCGATCTCCTCTATCATCTCACGAGTGTTGTTAAGGGTGCTTTGGGACACCCTGTATAAATTCATATCTTGACACTTTTTTTATTATAATTCTTGTTAATATAAATTGATACAATGGATCTGTTTTTTGTTCCTGAACTGCTGCACTAGTTCAGAGGTTATCTTTTTTGCTCGACATTGGAAAGAAAAGGACAACCTCTGAACTAGTGCAGCAGTTCAGGACAAAAAACAAAAACAGACCCAATATGTTTAATTTTTATTACGATTTAATATTTAAAAATTTTAATAAAAATTTTTATTAATTTTAAGAGGATTTGATACTCAATTGTGTCATCGTTGAGATGTGCTCTTTGAGGCGTTAATACTAAACCACCAACGCTAAACATTCGTTCCACAGATGCACTGCTCGGAAGTGCCGTATTATATTTAATAAAAAGTTTTTTAATTGTAATGTAATCTTTAATATATTAACATTGCAATTACTTGATTTCAAGAATCGGTACAGTTCTTCTTGTGTAGACTCGACTTCTTTTGTTTGCTGGTCAAAAGCAAAAAGTCATCGTTGTTGAGATTTCATCGTTGGAGAACTCTCAGTGGAACGAATTCCTAATAGGTCTTCTAATAAGTTTTAGCGAGTTTTTTTTCTTCTCCATGTATCCAATTTAATTTAAATTTGGATGCAAACAACTTGCAATAATAAGTTTTTTTTTTTTCAAACAATGAGGAAAAATCTAAAATTATACAGTCAGAAGTCAGAATCAATGAATATTGTTTTCTAAAATAATAAATAACATGTTCATTAAAATAACAAATTACCTTTTATTTAAACCTTGTTGAAGAGCTGCGATTAATGATTGGCAATGCGTAATTTCATTTTTATTAAGTTTCTCTAATTTTTCTTTTAATGTTTTTAGATCGGTAATAAGTATCCCATATACATCCCTTTCTCGCTTTGCAATATATCTAAGATTGTGCTAAAGGTTTCATTACCTAAACGAAATAAAACGAGAAAAAGATACACGTTATTAGTTATTAAATACATATTACAATCTTTATATATACATATTTATATATTTATGTTTCATATTAACAACTTATAAATTTATCTAAATACCTGACAATATTCTTCTATGAATTTCATTTCATTTTCAGTCAATCTTTGCAAATTACAATGATCAAGGCATTGATTGATTGGTCGGATCATTTTTAAAATGTTGCTAGTTGCATTACAGAATCAAAAGTAGAGTTCCATCTACGAAAATAAAAAAGATGAAGGTATATTAGAAACTTATAATTTGAAAAAATATTTATATAATCATATCATCATTGCAAATTAAATAAAAACATGATTAAAATTAAAAACAGTAATATGCAATTATTTAGTTATAAAATTGAAGACAGTTGTAATGTTTTTTTACTAATTGTTGTCGAGAGAAGATCTATGGAAAAATAATATTGATATACATATAAGCACTGCGTGACTTTGTACATAAACATTGCGAATATTA